GCCAGGTTTGCCGCAGAGGTGAGGAGAGCATGTGGCAGTGCCGGGGTTTCAGAGACTTCCCCCTGCCCTCACCCGCTGCGGGGGGACGAGGGTACTTCTTCCTACCTGAGGGTGCTGAGAGTCTCATCGTAGTTGATGTCAGCAGGACTGAGAGCAGCAACCATGGCCGTCCGGGAGTTGCCCCCTGCCCGGAAAGACACGCTTGCATCAGGGAGATGCTGGTCCCCGCACTGGTTATCACCCTCTGCTCAGCGGCCATGCCCACCACTGAGCCCATCCCTCGCACCCATGTCCTCACCCAGGTTCTCCCGCAGCAGCCAGGTCAGCACTGAGTCCCGGTAGGGGATAAAATCTGTCTTCTTCTTCTTCTTGTTCTGGGGGATGGAGAGTGGAGAGAAGGGCTGTCAGGCTGCCTGCTCACTTCAAAGGGAATGTGACAACCAGTCCTCAGCCATGGGGATTTGGAGGAGGATGGCTCTGCCTGGCCACCACGACCTCGGGAAGCTCCGCTCAGCCCCACAGGTCCCGCCTGTGAAATGCCCTGCCTGGGCCGGACCAGGTGTTTAACACTGGGTCCCAAGAGCCACTGGGTGAGCAGGGTGATGAGGATGCTGAGGACTCTGCCAGCCCCCGGGAGAAGCGCGGCTTGGGTGTGGGCAGAGCCTCGCCCCCAAACCACCCTGTGACCCATTCCCAACCGCCTCTGCTAAAAACCGACCCCTCCTTCCCCAGCCCAGCCAGGGAACCCACCTTGTTCGGCCCTGAATCCTGCAAAGAAAGCAGAGAGACTAATGAAGTGAGCTGCTCCCCTCCCCAGTGCCCACCGCAGCTCCCCGTCCCCCAGGCAGAGGGCAGTGACTACAGGTCCCCAGGGAGGCAGCAGCCCCACCTGCCCCGGGGACAGCTCAGGATGGATCTGCCCACCCCCTGGAGCTGGGATGCTCCATCCCGCAGAGCCGAGCCCATCCCTGCTGAGCTGAGCCCGTTCCCCCGCAGCACCGCCGCTTGTCTGCACTCCAGCTACCCACCATTTCAGCCAGGGCGGAGATGACTTTCCCCAGTGTGGTCAAGGACTTGTTGATGTTTGCTCCTTCCTGGTGGAGAGAGGATGCTCAGGCAAGGTGCTCAGGCCTCATTTCAGAGCGGCGCTAAAGCCTGGTGCACCAGAAGGATGGCGAAGTCACAGCATACAGGGTGGGCAAAAAGCAGCTGGTCTCACTGGGTAACCAGCACCTCCCAGCTGAGACCCAGAGACCCCAGTGGAACAGGCACCAGGCAACTTTTAAACAAAACCCCATCGAGGATTTCGGCAGCGTAGCGGACGGGGAACGAGGCAAGGAAAGGAGATGTCACGGCTGGGGACGAGGGGCAGGACGCGATGTACCTGCTGGCAGACGGGGACCTCAGGCCAGCTCTCACCTTTAGTCTCGTGCCTTTCGCACCAGTGGAGTCGGCTCGCTCGCTCCCTGCCAGGTCCACCAAGCTGATTTTGCTGACCTGCAGGCAGAGATGAGGCCGTCAGCCCCAGCAGGCACAGCAAACCGGGCCCCGACACGGAGCCGAGGAGGGAGCAAAGACCTCCTGCAAGGTGACATTGCTCTGAAGGCAGAAGTGGGCTCTGCAGGGTCATCCTTGCCAGGATTTGGCCAGGAGGAGGGCTAGCATCCTTGCAGACAGCGCTGGAGGGCACCAGCTGCCAAATAACCTGTCCAGGGACTCGTCCCTTGAGGGACTGTGAGCCCAGCACATGCCCGGGACTTATCTCCATCCTGTTTCAAACCTCCATCAGGCCGTGCCATCTAATCCCAAGCGCTGTCGAGAGCACATGAAGCCCTTCCCAGGTTCGTGCGCATTCCCCCCCAGGTTCCCCAGTCTCTCCTCTCACCTTCTCAGTGGTGATGTCCGTCTCGGCATCGTGCCGCTTCTGCGTGAAGATGATGTTGAACACAGCATGGGAGCGGCTGCTGGTCTCGTTCATGTTGGTGGCAGCCACTGTGCTGTGGGGAGAGGAGGACAGGGAGGTATGACACTCTGCGGAGGACATCGGAGCAGTCAGTGCTGGGGCCAGGGCTCATTTTGGGCCAGGGTACATGATGGGAAGGCAAGTCTGGAGGACAGAAGAGGACTCTGGGAGAAGCTGTGCAAAAGTCCAGGCTTTCTCCTGCTGGCTCCAGGGCATTTTGAGAGCAGGAAGGAGGTAAAGTGAAAATAAGGGGGGGGGGGGAACCCAACACTCAGACAGGAGTGGACTGCCCCCTCCACAGCAGCCAGACCAGCAAAGCAAGAAAGTTAAGCAGGACCTTCCGGAGGTGTCTGCACGGTCTCCAAATTCTGGCCATCTCCCGCATCCCCAACTCACCGGGCCTTGTTTCCAGAGTCCATGAGGTCCTGGATGTCATTGTAGGAGGTCACAGCCAGCTTGGAAAGGTCCTCAACGTATGGGCCCATAAGGGGATGCTCCCTCACCCGCAGGTTCCCCTTGTTCTTGGGGTTCAGGAGGTCTCTCACGCGCTCGCAGTATATCTCCATGTAGCTCACCTAAAGCAGAGGGCACAGGCAGGACATGGATGCTCAGCACGTAGGCAGAATCAGGCCTGCCTGCCCACCCCACGCCCAGGGACAGGACCCCCCCAGAGGGGTCTGCACACTGGCATGGCTTGCAGAGCTGAGTGGGAGGCTGGAGATGGCCTAGGCAGGAAATGGGGTGCCTACCTCCACAGAGTAGGACATATTGTCATTCGTCGTGTCATTGATGCGGGAGAAGAGGTCCTCGCACAGCTGCGGAGAGAAGAGCCCAGCGCTTCAGCCCCTCCACTGGAAGGATGCTTCTGCCCAGGGTGCACAGGCCACAGGGATTTCTACCTTCTCACCCCAAAAACTGGAGCCCGAGCGCTGGGATGGCTCCCGGGGAGCTGGCAGAACATCCCCCTGCTGATACGGGGGGGCTCAGCATCCCCAGAGCCCCCCCCCCCCCCGGCACCCTGCTGGGCCAGCACACGGCAGCTCTCAGCAAGCACAGCCGGCTGGGCTCGGCGCTTGGACTACTGCTGCTCGCAAACACCAGCCTCGTGTGGCCAGACCATAATTCATCCAGCCTCAGAGGAGTCTGGCGTGACCCTCCTCACCCCCCCGCCCTCCAGCAGAGCCCTGCCGGCTCGCTGCCACAGCAGGGCCGCGATAGACCTCGGCAAAGCCTGGCCCTGCTCCTGCCTTGCTTCCCTCCCCGCTCCACTTTTCCTTCGGGCATCCCGCCGGGATCAGGGGAAGCTTTTCACCAGGCGGTACCTGTGGGATGATGCCTTGCTGGTCCTTCTCCTGCTTCCCCATCATGGTGTAGGATTTTCCAGCACCTGTCTGCCCATAGGCAAAGATGCAGACGTTATAGCCTTCAAAGGCATGCTGCAGCATCTCCTCGCCGATGTCCCGGTAGACTTGCTTCTGAGATGCATAGTTGATGTCTGCGGGCTGCAGAGAGGAGGGAGGCAAGGAGAAATTTGGCAAGGAGGTCCTCCTGCCTCCCTCAAGCCCAGCCCTGTGCTCCAGGCAGGGTCAGGCCTCCCACCACTTACCGTGGTATGGGACCAGTAGGAATAGTCAAAGCTGAAGCTTTTTGGTGTCTCTTTGGGTTGCTTTGGGTTCAGGATAGCTACGGACAAACAGACAGGAACATGAGGCACCCACGGTACCCCTGCCACATACATCCCACTTGCGAGGGGACAAGGGCAATGGGGTTCAGTCCGAATCAGCCCTGGAAAGCAGGACCAGGACTCTCCAGCTCCACAGATGGGTCCAGCACCCTCAGACCCCCCCAGTCCCAGCAGAGGAGGTAGATGCCGTGGCCGTCAGAGCCTGTGCCAGTCCCGGGAGCTGGGCAGAGCCTTGCCCAAACATTCAGGCTCCTTCTTGCTTCGGCATCTGCCCGTGGGAGACCGGCACCGGAGAATCACAGCCTTCCTCCACGCCGCAGCTGGGGGGCCATGCCCAAACCCACGCACGTTGGGGCTGGGAGCAGCCCCGGCCCCCTCGGGGCTCCCCCTGGCCCCCTCCAGCCCCTGCCTCTCCTCCCCTAAGCTTTCTTTTGGGTACCCACCCCCAGCAGAGTGATTAATGCCTCGTGTTACACTGCCATTGGAAACAAGAGCCTGCGTTTTCCCATCCTCTGGTGAAAAGGATGTTGCCATGGAAATTGGAATAATCTTACTTACAGAATCCACGATTGCAATAATTTGTCTTTTAAAAGAAAATAATCTTAGCTTAGGGTAATGAGGTTTTTTTTTTTTTTTTTTTCCCCCTGTAGAGCATTTATGATGGGTTTTTTTCTGAAACAACAGATGCGTCAGAAGAAACCCAAACCAGCAGGGTAATCATGAGATCCAGCCATCAGCCACGTTAGGCGACATTGAAATGACCTTGCGGGCCAGCGCAGCGCAACTCCTGTGC